ACCCACCAAAGCACTTAGCGATGTCAGATTCAGACACAAAGTGAAATTACAAAAGAGCTTCAATTCCTTCTTGCAAGCTCCATTTTATCTGGTTGAGTGCCTTCACTCTAGATCTCAGGACACGTTTCTATACTCACACAATATAGAATCACAAAGTATTAGAGACTATCTACTTCAATGATCTCCTTTTACATAAAAAGAACAAAATTTCTGTAGACAGTACTGAGTAGGCCAACTCAAGATAGCTAGTTAGTGACTAAACAGGGTCAAGGTCTTTGGAAATCTTTCTAGTCTCCCAGCTTACTGTCGAGGTCGAAGAAGTGTCTGGGATTTTACCTAACTTGCAGACTGTTACTGTTTATGGGTGCTGGCAGATACAAGACTCTTAGATCAGGGACAAAAGACTTTAGTCTCATGGCAAAGCAGTGGCTGGAGTATCATGATCATATTGATTTCCCTTGATTCTCAAATCTCATGGAAATAATACAGAGGGGCCAGGCAGATGCTATGCACACAGATTTGCATCATCACCAAAGAACACTGAGCTTGAGGAATTTACTACCTTTTTTTCTTTTTTAGCAAGTGGAAGCAGGTCTGATCTTTGTGCAGTGAGTCATGTTACGTCATGTGAGAGGGCCTTATATTCTTGGCACACTCACAAGAATGTGCAGCTGAGGGTCCATGGCAAATTACCTCTCCCAACACCCACCAACATAGGGAATACTGAGAGGACACACAGGTGATTCACATTTATAACTTAAAATATTTAATATTTGCTACATGCAAAATAACATATATAGTATATAACATATGTAAACATTCTGTTTCTGAAAAGCATCCACAGTTCTGCATATTGTTGTAGTTTGTTCATTTTCACTACCATTTAACATTGCATTGGGTGAATATGTAGCAATTTATTAATTCATTCTCCGGTTGATGAACATTTCAGCTGGTTTGCAGTTTTTTTCTATAAAGCTACTATTCTTGCATACATTTCCTGATAGTTTCTTTATAGTATTTGACTAAGGAGTGAAATTACCAGATTATTAAAGAGGCTAAAAATAACTGCATGTATTTATTCACAATTTGTGTTTCTTGGATGTGGATTGCATGTTCATATATTTTACCCACTTTTCTACTGGGTTGCTTCTCTTTTAAATTTTATTTTTAAGAGTTCATGCTTTTATCTCTGATTCATAGTTAAAATAAAATCTCTCAGTAATAGAAAGGAACATTTTTAATCCACCCCCTGCTACCAAAAGGGGGTATCTATTAAAATCTATTAATTTCAAACATCATTTTAATGGCAATATGATAAAAGCATTTAAAAAAATCAGAAGCCTGTGATCCTGGGAAGAGGCTTAGTAACTGCAGACCAGCCATGTCAAACTTTAGGAATGTTCTGGAGGCCCTTCAGGTTTCTCCTATTCCCTATGCTTATTTCACTGTAGAATAGCGGAGAGAGCCTTAAAATCAAACAAATGCTTAAAGGTGGGCTTGCAGTTAGGGATTCTCTTGTGGTGCTATTAATTTTTACTATTTACCACTCCACTTAGAAACAAAGGTGATGCAGGCAATTAACCATCTTTCTCTGGGTTGCAAGATTTTCCCTTCACCTTGTTTTTGCACTGAGGGTGTTGTCCTTTGTGAGTCCCAGCTTTATGCAAGAGTTTCAACCCCAACATCCTATCTTTTTTGGCTATAGGGCCCCTATCTCCAGTGTGCATGTTATTCACTAGAATCCAAATTCTAGGTCAGAGGGGGTTTTCAGATGCACCCAGCCAAATGCAAGTTGTACCTCTGACTCAGTATGCTCCCAGAGAAGCTAATCTAAGATAGTTGATGTCAAACATGAGTCAAGAAAGGAGAAGCTAATATGGATTTTTTGACTTGAGTCACTGGCCAGCTGACTGCCAATGAGACCTTCTCATTGGTGACAGGTGTAGGACAGACAGACCTTGACATAAGGTAACAGTTTCATTAGTAGTGAACTGGGATGTATTCTAATGGAAGGTAATACATGTTTCCCCTGCTATATGAGAGTGTTCTATGAAACCTTTCATGTTGATGGTAGAAAGCAAAAAAGCAATTACCATTAAATTATATGGAAAAATGCTTGCTCATTCCCATACCCAAAAAATAACCTAGCTAATCATACCAAATAATACATAAACCTAAAATAACAATTATGTCCAGTTTTATGCTAAACATAACACCCTTCTGAGCTCTCAGGCTTTTCTGATACCGTAGGACACATCTTGCTAATGAAGCATAAACTAAATCGAGATACAGTACAGATGCTCAGAGACAGTTCACAACTATGGGGCTTGATGTGGAGATGCTGAGTGTAGTTCCCAGGGAGGGAGCTTGACAGGGCCACTCTGACTGCTCAGGTGCATGTTGACTTTATAAGGGCTCCCTGCAAAACAAATGCAAAAGGCTATTTTTACTTTTTTTTTGGTAAAAGCAAAAATCCTCTTTGGATTTCTCTTGGTTAGTAAAAACGGGTACATATGTAGGTCTTTTGCAAAAGTGAACTGGTGTAACGTGAACATTTGAATAGTGAGGGTTACCTGTACACTAGAGTGGGTGTGATGCATTAGACATCTATATATATAAAAAGCCCTGGCTCTACCACCATAATGCGGTCATGACCAAACAAGCAGTGGCTCTTGCAGTGGGTGGGGCGGGGCGAGAGCTACTAGTGGTGGAGAGCTATGAGCAGCAGAGGGCTACCAGCGGCGGAGGGTGGGGCAGCCAGCTGAGGCAAGCGGAAGCAAGCTACTCGCGCACGATTTCGTGCACGCTGGGCCTCTAGTTTAAGAAATATGAGGGAGATAGTAATTTAAAAACAGGGGAATTGGTTGTTGCTAAGCAAAGTTCATTCTTTGCAAAACACAAAAAGCTGAGAAAGGTTAATGGCTATTAAATATATGAGTAAAATTCAAAAGGCCTCTTTGGTAGCAATTAAGAAGCTTTTATCTCCTGCAGTGGGAGGGCAGAAAGCTGAGCAATAGGCCCAGCACTGGAAAAGTGTGGCAGAGCTCCAACGGAGATGAACAACCTTGCAGCCCAGTTAGGCTGGCCAGGCCAAGGTCCCAATGCTGACTGGGAAAGAAACCCTGATGCAATGAACTGGGTTGAGACACCTGAAATACGTGAATCCTAGGTTTTCCTGAACTCTGTGAGTCTGAACATGGTCCATATTCCTGACTAATGACTAGTGCCCCCGACTGGGTTGAAAACAAAGCAGAGGCCTACTCCTTACCCCACAACCTGTGTTCCTTTCAGGATCTGCCCTCAGTTTTCCTCCTGACCACTGGGTCAATAACCTGGCTTTCTTTACAATGTAATTTTATTTTAACCAGTGGCAAGGGAGGTGTGGCAATGAAGGAGAGGGCCTGCTCCTGAGAAGATTAGGGAGATGGATAACAGAATACAGTGTCCCTAGGAGCATAATGGATGGGCACCAAACAAGGACTCTGCTCAGCCTGTATAATCAAAAGAAACCAAGGAGTGCAAGACCAGGAGCCTGAGAACAACACTCCAATAACTAGTCACAATTCTTTGCCGGGTTTTAAAGTCTGAGCCAGTTTTTGGATCTGGAAACCATCAGCAGAGAAAAGGCTAGATTCCCAGGAGGAAGCCTGGAATATCGTAAAAGATGTACACTGTAATAATTTCCCCAGTCCTTCCCCGAGGGCCCTTTGCGATTACTCTGGCTAACCCTATGTTGGGAAAATGAGAACATCAACACATTTTTCAACAGCATGGCAGGTATAAGAATTCACCTGCCTTCTATTAGATGGTGAACCTATGACACGCGTGTCAGGTGACACACGAACTCATTTTTTTGGTTGATTTTTCTTTGTTAAATGGCATTTAAATATATAAAATAAATATCAAAAATATAAGTCTTTGTTTTACTATGGTTGCAAATATCAAAAAAATTCTATATGTGACATGGCACCAGAGTTAAGTTAGGGTTTTTCAAAATGTCGACATGTCGAGCTCAAAAGGTTTGCCATCACTGTATTAGGCTTTCCATTAAAGAGATTTGCAGAACTGTAAAAGAATACTATTCTTCTGTTTATTGTTTGAAAAAATATAGCTATTTTTCCCATATAAATATGTTCTTTATACTAACATGTAATATACTTATGAGTATTATTTTTGCTGAATTTAGTATTTAAATGTCTTAATATTTGTATATGGTAAATATTAATAGACATAACCCACATAAACAAAAGCTCATTAGAGTCTTCAGTTTTTAAGAGTTTAAAGGGTCCTGAGAGAAAAACATTTAAGAACGGGATGCCTGCAGCCGAGTGCAGGTGATGGCTATTGCAGATGAAGAAAGCAAGAACCCAAGAGAAAGGGTCTTCCATTTGGATGTGAATGGGTGATGGCAGAAGTTGGAAGTCGAGTTCCCAAGTTCCTAAGTTGTGGGTAAAAAACAGTACCGATGAAGGGTGAAAAGTGGCATGGCTACCCAGAAAGGAGGAATAATGACCTGCGCGAGGCCCGGGGAGCAAGGGGAGTGAGCCCGCCTCCGAACCAGGGCGGACGTGTGGGGAAATGCGTAAAGGCACAGCTCCGGCAGCAGACGTGAGAAGTGGGATGTGAGGAACCGGTGGTGGGAGGTTCCCCAGAGAATTAGCCAGCACTTTCGGTCGGAGTCAGCAGAAACAGTACCAAGTCTGTGAGTTCATGTACCTCTTCCTTTTAGAGTTTTCTCTTCCTTTAGATTCCTCCTTCTCTGGGAAAATAAAATAGACGGGCCTTCCCATCTCCTTAGAGCTCGGCTTCCCCCTTTTCCCTCTTCTCTCCGGCCTCCTCCTTTCCACCAGGTCTTCCTCCCCCCAAGCTGGAGAGCCCGCTGCTCGCACCCCGCTCCCCTGCCGGAGTGGGAGGGACGGGGCGGGGCGAACAAAAGTGGGCGGGCCCTTCCCTGTCTACGCGCCGCCGTCAGGACGCGCTGACGTCAGAGGACATCCGGTCCGGCTCCCGGAGTCGGAAAGTGACTGCCCGCCGTGCCCGCGTCTCAGTAGCCCCTAACCCCGGGTCGTGGTCCGCGCGCCGGATCTGCTGTCGCCGCGGGCCGGCGTCACCCCGCCGCTCCCTGCCCCTCTGGCCCCGGAGTGAGCCCGGCCTCCCCGCCAGGGTGAGCGAGGTCGGCCTGGAGCGCGCGCGAGGGAGGGTGTCCCGCGGGCGGTGGCGGGCGGCGGGCCCCCGAGCCGAGTGGCGCCCCCGGCGAGTCTGCGGCCGCCCGCCCGTCCCTTCACCGCGCTGCCTCCTCTGGCGGCCGGCTTCCCCGCCCCGACCGCGGCCACCCCGCGCCCGTTTCCCCGTTTGGCGGCACCGGCCACGTTCTGGAGAAGTCGGAGCGCTGCTGGAGAGGGGCTTAACCCCATCTGAGGCTGAGAAAGAGAATTTGCTCTTCACATTCCCAAAACGAGGGGGAAAAAATGAGGCCCAGCGTTCTCAGCGGTTCACCCCCGGGGTCGTAGAGAATTCCTCCGGGTGATCGATCACCCCGCGGTTATTTCCTGTGCTCTGTGGGCCGTATCGGTACACGTTTTTGTCACGTGTAGACTTTGTCATGTTAAATACTGTAAGGGTGACCCGGTGGGCTGGGGCAGTACTTGAGTAACCACCTACCAAACGTCCTGGCTTGATTTGTCCATTTTTTTTAAAAGTCGCAACTTCCCATCACTTGGCATTTGATGGGATAGTCTAACGTAGGAGTGGAAACCCAAAGTAGGAGAAGTTCCGGAGTGACCTTCGCGTTGTGTCCAGCACAGGCTGGCGCGTGGCCTTGCTGTATTGTAATGGGCCCCGTTGAAGGGGAAATGGAAGTCTCCTAGCGGCGCGCTCACCCCTGGCGCTGTCCACGTGTCCCGGGCACGCGTCCGATTCTTTGAATCAGAGCGTTTGTGTCTCCAGGGAGGTTGCATGTCCCAGTCCCCGGTGAAACCCGAGCCTGTCCTTGGAGGCCTGGCGTTCCTGGATCCTGAGCAGGGCCCAGAAGTCTCAATCTGTACTTTTAGGAATTTCTGCAGTTGATTTTTGAGAATCACTCTTAGAAAAAAGACTTTAAAAATATGTATTTTGGAGAATATTAAGAAATTTGAGTTTGAGATTTCAAAGCAAGCATGTAGGTTCTTTCATGAGTGTATCTCTTCATTTGTTGAATGATTAATATGTGCCAGGCAGAGCTGGGAGGCAAACATCCGCACGAAAAATGGGGCTGGAATCCTCAGGGAACGTCTAGCGTTCATACTACTGAAAAGCCAAATAAAAATGTGTTATTTAGTAAAAATCTTGTTCTACTAAATGTGGTAGTTCTTTCAACCAAATGATGAAAGCCAGTTTTAAAGTCATTATCTTCTATAATAATAAAAGCGTAATATGCTAATTAGACCGGACATCCTTCCAGACAACCTTCCAGACGAAGCCAGCCAGGGTCCCGGGTGCCAGAGGGAAGCCAGTGCCGGCAGCCGGGGGAAGGAAGGCCTACTCTTGCACGAATTTTGTGCATCAGGCCTCTAGTTTTAATATATGTGGTAAATACATACTCTTAAACATAACTTTGAACCCTGTTAAAATTACAACAGGTTGTAGAATAACATTTTGTGCAAATCCTTTACTTAAAACCTTGAGATAGCTAGGAACTTAAGTCCCCTTTATGTGAATTAGCCAGTGGTAAAATTGGTTTCGCTATAGGTCACTTCACTTAAAAGTCGCAGAACCTGTGCACACGGTTAAGGGAGGACTTAATGTACAGGGGTGGGCAAAAGTAGGTTTACAGTGTTGAGTATGTGAAACAGTTTATTCTTGTATTATTTATTACTTATTGTATTATTTATTAGTTTTACTAATGCAAACCTACTTTTGCCCACCTCATATATGCTCATTGCATGTAGACAGAAGGGCAGCTTTCAGAGTCAGAGCAACACTATAATACCTTTAACATCTTTTCAGAGAGAATAGTTTGACTTTGTAGTTAATGTCATTTGACTTGCCTAGCAGATGTTTTATTTAGATACTACATAGGAGAACCACGACTTGTTAATCTTTGGGTCTTGTCAGTATCAGGTCATCTATATATATAAAAGCCTAAGTGACCGACCGGTAGCTATGACATGCACTGATCACCAGGGGGCAGACACTCCGACTGGTAGGTTAGCTTGCTGCTGGGGTCTGGCCGATGGCGACTGGGCGAGATGGGCTGGACATGCCCTGGATTCCTCCCACGGTCTCTCCCTGGCCAGCTAGCCCCGATTGGCCCCAATTAGGACTGGGCAACACGGGCTGGACATGCCGTGGAGCCCTCCCCGGCTCCGACTGTGCACCGGTGGGGTCCCTCGGCCTGGCCTGCTGGAGCCCTCGTGCAATCCGGGACCCCCCGGGATGTCTGCAGGCCAGGCTGACCAGTAGCTATGATGTGCAATGACTGCTAGGGGGCAGATGCTCAACACAGGAGCTGCCAAGCTGTGGTGACTTGGCAGCTGCGGTTCTTGGGTGACGCACCTGGAACCAGAGAGGAGGGAGCCCGATTCCGGGGTGTGTCACCCAAGAATGGTCCTCTCGCAATCCGGGACCCCTCGGGTGATGTCGGAGAGCCAGTTTTGGCCAGATCCCCGCAGGCCAGGCCGAGGGACCCCCCCCCCGGGCACGAATCCATGCACTGGGCCTCTAGTTTGAATATGAAGTTCAAAACAGTGATGTAAACTGGGTAAATAATACACTTTTTAATGATTTCTTGTTAATGATATCTGCCTAATCATTTTATTTTTTACCTTGGTACAGAGTAATTTTTAAAGAATACTTAATATCAGGGAAACTTTTTTTCCTCAATGGGAAAAAAACTTGGCTTTTAAGATGATTTGGGGGGTGTGTGTGTGTGTGTGTGTGTGTATTTACATTTGTTAGAATTGTTTGGTAGTGCAAGTAAGTGCATTATTTTAAAAGGCATCTATTTTATTTGGGATAATGTGTGCTTAATGTTTCATAAAGGCCTAAAATTGCTTACCTGTCAAAATGACAGGTTTGAGTTTAAAATTTAATGAGAATAAATTTCTTAGTTATTAGCAAATGCAACCTGGCACTTATATCTTCTCTGTTTGTTCTCTTGTGTTGAAAGAGAGAAAAAATGCCTAAAAAAAAGACTGGTGCGAGGAAGAAGGCAGAGAACCGCCGGGAACGTGAAAAACAGCTGCGAGCATCAAGAAGCACCATAGATTTAGCTAAACACCCATGCAATGCTTCAATGGTAACAGCTTTTTATGATATCAGTTGATAGTTGAAAAATTGTATCAATTATCAGAAAAACACCTGAAAAAATTTTAGTGAATACAGTGTTGCTGCATGTATTTTATTGATTTTGAAATCTGTTAGAGGCATGTCCATTGTTTTCATTAACACTTGAGTAGCAATGATTTTTGTTTGATTTTATGTTATTTATAAAACCTATCATATTACCTTGGCTATTCTTGGTGATGAATAGTTATTGACCAAGAATACATACTAGGATTGCTGTGAAAAATTTTCCAGCTTCTCTGAGCTTATGTGCCTTAATTCAGTTTATCTTATTAGTTGGAATCTTTTTATCATTTTCTCTTAGCAGTTCTTTATAACTCATTTGATTTTTCATTTCTAAACTTTCTACTGTTCTTGACATCTCTTTTGATTTCCTGTTCTACTACCTTATTTCCCTGTGCCAAATGGGTTAGTCCTGATCACTTGTGGGCTTCTTTGGTCAGAGTTGTGAAAAGCAAGTGATATTTGTCAGCATTAGTCCTTTTCGTTGACCATGTTTCTCTGAGTTGTCCCACATTTCCCAATTTCTACTTCTCTCTACTTTTTCTATTCCCACTACTCCTCTTTTTTCTTCTTCTGTTTCATCAGACACACATAAAGTGTTTACATGACTTAATTCCACACACTGTTGTGTATCTACCCTGTGCCGTAGATGCTGTTTTAGGCGCTGTGGGGGATACATAGGTGAAGGACGGATCAGTTGTTTTGTGCAGTACTTAAGAACTGTTTGTTTATAAATGACAAATCCAACCTAAGTAACCGGGAGAAAATAGTGGACTAACTTGTATAGTTGGGCAGGGCAAGGATGTAGCTGGAACACGGGACAACTGGAACCTGGAACAATCTTGTAGTTCCATCTTTTGCTTTTGTTCCTTTTTGCTTATTAGTTCCATTTTCTCAGGTTGTCTTACTCCATGTGTTTGGGTTCATAGGCCCGGGTAACTCACATATCTCACATCACATATCCTTACCCTCAGAGAGGGAAAGAACTCTGATACTTTGGACTTCGTGATGCCATTTCTAGGACTAACATTTATGGCTGGAGTGGGGGAGCAGGATTACATAGCACAGATAGGACAGTGGGGACCCCCTTCTGTGTGTCAGGGTCCTTTCTAGAGTCTAGGGGTAGAGGGCAAGATGAAAGAAGAAGTAATTCACATTCCTAAGTATATACAATGACAGCCAGACTTGGTGAGTGTTGCAGTGGAGGCACAATGAGGACTAAGAGGTGATAAAGTTGAACGTGTGGATGGGCTGCAGTTTACAGAAGAGGTGGGATCATCACCAGAACTTCCAACAAGGAAAGACTGTGAGGAGGGACTTTTCAGGGCAAGGTGTTAGAATAAGTAAGGCATAAAAAAAGAGAGTACAAGGCATATTTTGAAATTGGCTGACAAATAGTGACTTGAATCTAAAGAGAATAGGCCAGCAATTTGAAAAGTAGTTAGAGATCAGATTGTTGAGAATTTTTAATACCATGCTTTAAGATTCTGGATTTTCTGTAAGCTTTACCATATTGTGTTCTCCACTGTTTCTTGTGTCCTTTATTATTTGCGTGATTCATTAAAAAACAAACTACCTCTATTTACCTCTTTTGTGAAAATGCCACTTCTTTGTCTAGGGCATTATGCCTTTGTTATGTGTAGATTCCTGTATACTGGGGGCAGTTGGAGTATTTGGGCAAATGTCATTTAAATTTTAACATGAAGAGCAGGATGTTCTTTATAATGCAAGTAAATTTGTAATTTTCAGCCAGTAGGAAATTAATGTCATGTTTATATTTTACAGGAATGTGACAAGTGTCAGAGGTAAATTTTTATTTCTTTTTCTATCTATATATAATAATTAGATCCTCTGATCTTTTATCTGATATTGACTATATTTTAAAATTTATTTTACATGACAAGGCGGCAGAAGAATAGAGCATTTTGCTATTTTTGTAATTCTGTACAGAAGTTACCAATTTGTGCACAATGTGGTAAGTATGACAACTAAAGGCACCTGCCTTTTATCAAATATTTGTTGGCAGTTAATCAGTTTGAAATGGTGGGTTTATCACTGTTTATAATAATGTTATGCCTTACCATTGATAAAATATCATTAAATGTTATTTTGCCTACAAGTGGGAAATAACACTATCAAGTGCCTAATCAACACTATCAAGTCTTGATTTTGACTCTGTAATGTAATGCTGGAAAATGGTTAACATACAGGTTAGATATAGGTTACCAACATGTTTTTGTTGTGTTTTTAAGATTTTTTAATTGATTTTTAGAGAAAGACAGAGAGAGAGAGAGAGAGAGATAGATAGAGAGAGAGAGAGAGAGAAACATATTTGCTGCCTATCCTGACTGGGAATGGAACCAACAACCTTTCAGTGTATGGACTGATGCCCAACCAACTGAGCCACACCGGCCAGGGCTACCAACATGTTGTTTTACACATTAAAAGATCAGATTTCAAACTAATAGTACTTGGTGGTCCTGGATTTTTAATTATACTATCTTAGTCTTGTCCATAGCCATTTGTTTACATTTCTAAAATTTGATTCCTGCTAATATTGCCTGCAGTATGTTAGACCATTCGGAATAGTTTTATTCTACATTTACCTGGTGCCAGTTTTTTGTGATCATTTGTTTTCTGTTTGGCATTTAGCATATGATTCTTGAATTTCTTCACATGGATTCCCAAGTGATTAGAATAGAGTTCTTAAAGCCACATACTCATTTCCTAGGTATAAGTGGAAACTAAGAGTAGATGATCGTTCAGAGTAAAACTAAATGTAGTGCACAGAACAAGATTGGTGTTTGTCAAATAGTCTTTCTTAGAATACTTGTGATATATTAATAAGTATTTTTTAGCACAATGTATACATTTGAGAAATGCTGTGTGTTTCATCCCCTTCCCGTCTGGGAGCTTTCTATTATATCCTGTGTAATAAAGAACTAATATGCTAATTAGACTGAACAGCAGAATGACTGTCCGGACGACCTTCCAGACGAAGCCAGGGCTGCGAGGGCCCAGGCAGCTGGGGCTGTGAGGGCTGAGCCCCTTGCACAAATTTCGTGCATCGGGCCTCTAGTATTTATATGTTAAAGTTTCTGAAGACCTCCAGTAAAGAAATACAGATTTTCTCCCCAAACTTTTACTTGAACAAATATCCCTTTTGGTTTTGGTATAATAATTTCAGGTGTAACACATTTTGGGATATGCTCATTTTAATGTGTTTACGTATGATAACATTGCAGAAAGTTAGGAATGTTTAGGGCTACATCCCTGAATATTCTAGTGTTGTTCTAGCTTTCAAAGACATCATTGAGGTTTATAATTAATGAAAAAGAGAATACTGGCTTAGGTAGACCGCTTATCTGCCAGTTATATCCTTATTTTATAAAAGAAATGAATGTAGAGTGAGAAAATAATTTATGGAAAAGATTAAATTCTTGCTAGGACCTTCCTATAATTTCAGTGTTTTTGAGCTTAAATTTTGTTATACATGGATGCATTTCTCACGTATTTTGTACTTCATGTTAGACAATGGAACAGTGGGTAGCTGTTGCCTCTCATTTCCAATTTCTCTTTCTTCCCGTTTCTTGTTGTCTAGCTTTATTCCTCAGGTAATCAGGATAATGGAAAATTGAATATCTTCTGTTTCTTTGATGTTCCACTTTGTGAAGTATGAAATTGATGATTACTGTGTCATTATTAATCTTCCCAAAGTATATGAATTTCCTGACAGTGTTTTGGATTGGTAATTAGCTGTTACATCAGAGTTTTTGTGGCTATATGGTAATTTTTAGCTCTATCACCATATTGCTGGTTTTTGTGCTCACTTGGGGACTATTTGAAATTGTTTTTGAAAAATATTTAATTGGAGGTTATGTCTGTAAATGTGTACATATGCATAAACTTAAAAAGTGAACCAGATAAGATGCATAACTTCTGTTTGGTTGGTTTGAGATATTGTGTGGAAAGAAATAAGCAACAACTTTAAACCAGACTCTTTTTATTGTGAATTATGAATGATTAAATTCATTTTTTATTTTTTTCAATCCTCACCCGAGGATATTTTTCCATTGATTTTTAGAGAGAGTGGAAGAGCGAGGGAAAGACAGAGAGAAATATTGATGTGAGAGAAACACAACAGTTGGTTGCCTCTTGCACAAGCCTTGACTAGGGCCCGAACCGGGGAGGAGCCTGCAACTGAGGTACATGTCCTTGACCGGAATTGTACCCAGGATCCTTTGTCCACAGGCTGATGCTCTATCCACTGAGCCAAACCGGCTAGGGCATGAAAGGTTAAATTCATTTTAAAGCATATTTTAAAATCTGCTATAATGGTGGTTTGGTTAGAAAACATAACCTGGAATTTCTGATTTTAGTACAAATATGAATTAACATACAACTTTATTGTGCAGTTGGTTTTTAATAAATTTCTAATCTCAAAAGATCTGACTCAGGTAATGAGATCTCAGTTATATCCCTTTTCTATTTTTGGTTATGTAAGCAGTACACTGCTTATTTATATCCATTTAAAATTATTTCCACAGGCTAGATAAAGATAATTAATGAATTACTTGCATGTGCTCCTTTTGCCAGGCTAATTGTGCAAATTTGTTTCTTTACCAGGGAAAACAAAGTGCATGATGAAGTCTTCAGACTGTGTCATAAAGCATGCTGGTGTATACAGTACTGGCCTTGCAATGGTGGTAAGCTTCTCGTCATCATCTCTTAGACCCGTCACTGATTTTCAACCAGTGTGCTGCAAGAATTTTTAAAACACGCACTACCTGACTCTTTCATCAGGGGCACTGACCCCCTTTTCTCTTCAATTGTGAATTTTAAAAAATGACAACAGCCAGCACAATAATAGCCATCCAATATGAATTAAAATTATACTTATTTAAAAAAAATGTTTTCATTGATTTCAGAAAGAGGAAGGGAGAGGGAGAGAGAGATAGAAACAACATTGATGAGAGAGAATTATCCGCTGCCTCCTTCACTCCTTACTGGGGATTGAGCCAAGAAATGGCATGTGCCCTGACCGGGAATCCTAGTGTGACTCCCTGGTCATTGGTTGATGCTCACTCACTGAGCCACACTAGCCAGGCTATATCTATTTTTTTTTTTTGGTCAGATGGGCAAATATATTTTTTTGCTAAGCCGGCAGAATTTTAGTAATAAATTTATGTGTGTTGTGCAATGAAAAAGGTTGAAAATTGCTGTCTTAAGACTAGTTGTATCCAAGGATAAGAAAACATCATTCTGACCAATGGTTATTTTTTATAACCACTGTATTTTATACATATACTAAGGTCTGATATGCACGGGTGGGGCCCCTTGGCCTGGCTGGCAATTGGGGCTGATCAGGGCCATCTCGCCCAATCCCGATCAGGGTCAATGGGGGCGGCTGGCCAGGGAGGGACCGCCGGAGGGGTCCAGGGTGTGTCCGGCCCTCTTGCCAAGTCCCAATTGGCCGGACCCCAGCAGCAAGCTAACCTACTGTTTGGAGCGTCTGCCCCCTGGTGGTCAGTGCGCGTCATAGTGACTGGTCAACTGTGACCAAATGGTTGACCACTTAGCTTATTGCATTTTTATTATATAGGATTATTATCCTATATAATAAAAGAGAAACATGTAAATTGACTATCCCTCTGCTATGCTCACCAGCCAATCAGGAGTGAGTATGCAAATTAACCCAACAAAGATGGTGGGTTAATTTGCATACACAGGCACAGGCGGAGAGCAGAGCAGGAGAGCCAGCAGAGAGTGGAACGGCTTGGGGAACTTGGATCCCCAAGCCACCAGATGGAGAGCAGAGAGGGAGAGTTGGCGGCTTGGAGGACTTGGCACGGCTTGGGGAACTTGGATCCCCAAGCCGCCAGATGGAGAGCAGAGAGGGAGAGCTGGCGGCTTGGAGGACTTGGCAGAGTGGGAGGCCATGGGACCGAGACCAAGCAGGAAGGGAAAACCAAGAGTGCGGGGAGCACCAGGAATTCTGGGAATCGTAGTTCTGGTGGCAGATGGATCTCCTAGACCAGTGGTCAGCAAACTCATTAGTCAACAGAGCCAAATATCAACAGTACAACAATTGAAATTTCTTTTGAGAGCCAAATTTTTTAAAATGAAACTATATAGGTAGGTACATTGTTATTAACTTAATTAGGGTACTCCTAAGGTTTAGGAAGAGTCACACTCAAGGGGCCAAAAAGCCGCATGTGGCTTGCGAGCCGCCGTTTGCCGACCACGGTCCTAGACACTAGAGCAAAGTGAGCTTGAAGCAAGTTACTGTTGCAGTGGGGGTTGGAGGGAGAGCAAAGGTGAGAGACATAAGTAGAATCAGAGTATCTAGGAAAAATTAAAGGGAAGATATCCTAAAACTTCCAGGAAATCTCCACCAATGAAGCAAAGAAAAAGCCTCTATTATTCTGTGAGCAACAAACCAAACTGAGTTAGGGTCTCAGACAATTCGATCATATGATTGCAAAGACAGACAGAAACTCCCGGATTGGAGAGGGCTCCCAGATTGGAGAGGCTGCAGGTCGAACTGAGGGACCCCCACACCCCCCAAGTGCATGAATGTCGTGCACCGGGCCTCTAGTATAGGATAATCACACTGCTTTGTCCCGTGGCTTCATTAATCTGGAGTTATCTGGATTATCTGTGGCATGTTTTTGTATGACTTTCCTTTATTACCTACTTGTTTTTAACTGCTTCCTATTTTTCTTATTTGGAAACATACAGGGAATGGAAACATTTAATTTTGACTTAAACAAAATTCATTTGTCAGTGGTACCTTTCTAATGTGTCTTACTTAGACTTCATTTACTACGAAAGCCCTGCTTAACCAAGGTTCATGCTTTTGATTAAATAAGCAACCTCATTCCAAAAGAACATAGGATTAATAGTTTTATTTTAAAGCTTTTTATTTCCAAAAAAGTACATACTTAATACAGGTTATACATAATTTTCCATTATATGTAGACTTTTCTAAGGAAATTCATTGTTTTAAGTAATAAAAACATGTTTGTGTGATGCATTTTGCTCTCTTTTTCACTAAAAAGTTATTCTTGCTGAAACCGGTTTGGCTCAGTGGATAGAGCGTCGGCCTGGGGACTGAAGGGTCCCAGGTTCGATTCCGGTCAAGGGCATGTACCTGGGTTGCGGTCAAGGGCATGTACCTGGGTTGCGGGCACATCCCCAGTAGGGGATGTGCAGGAGGCAGCTGATCGATGTTTCTCTCTCATCGATGTTTCTTTTTTTTTTTTTTTTTTTTTTTTTTTTTAATATTTTTTTTATTTTTCGCTTAAAGTATTACAAAGGGTATTACATAAGTGTCCTTTTTTTCCCCCCCGCCCTTGACACACCCCTACCCTCCCTTACCCCCCAGTGTCTTATGTCCATTAGTTATGCTTATATGCATGCATACAAGTCCTTCGGTTGATCTCTTACTCCCCTCCCTCCTGCCCCCCAACTCTCTCTGGCCTTCCCACTGCAGTTTGGCCTGGCTGGCAATCGGGGCTGATCAGGGCCATCTCGCCCAATCCCGATCAGGGTCAATGGGGGCGGCTGGCCAGGGAGGGACTGTCGGAGGGGTCCAGGGTGTGTCCGGCTCTCTTGCCAAGTCCCAATTGGCCGGACCCCAGCAGCAAGCTAACCTACTGTTTGGAGCGTCTGCCCCCTGGTGGTCAGTGCGCGTCATAGCTCGACTGGTCAACTGTGACCAAATGGTTGACCACTTAGCTTATTGCATTTTTATTATATAGGATTATTATCCTATATAATAAAAGAGAAACATGTAAATTGACCATCCCTCTGCTATGCTCACCAGCCAATCAGGAGTGAGTATGCAAATTAACCCAACAAAGATGGTGGGTTAATTTGCATACACAGGCACAGGCGGAGAGCAGAGCAGGAGAGCCAGCAGAGAGTGGAACGGCTTGGGGAACTTGGATCCCCAAGCCACCAGATGGAGAGCAGAGAGGGAGAGTTGGCGGCTTGGAGGACTTGGCAGAGTGGGAGGCCATGGGACCAAGACCAAGCAGGAAGGGAAAACCAAGAGTGCGGGGAGCACCAGGAATTCTGGGAATAGTAGTTCTGGTGGCAGCCCCAGGACCGGAAGCGGAAGCGCAGAGTGCGGGGAGCACCAAGAATGCTGGGAATTGTAGTTCTGGTGGCAGATGGATCTCCTAGACCAGTGGTCGGCAAACTTATTAGTCAACAGAGCCAAATATCAACAGTACAATGATTGAAATTTCTTTTGAGAGCCAAATTTTTTAAACTGAAACTATATAGGTAGGTACATTGTTAGTAACTTAATTAGGGTACTCCTAAGGCTTAGGAAGAGCCACACTCAAGGGGCCAAAAAGCCGCATGTGGCTCGCGAGCCACGGTTTGCCGACCACGGTCCTAGACACTAGAGCAGCTGTGGGCAAACTACGGCCTGCGGGCCGAATCCGGCCTGTTTGAAATGAATAAAACTAAAAAAAAAAAAAAGACCGTACCCTTTTATGTAATGATGTTTACTTTGAATTTATATTAGTTCACACAAACACTCCATCCATGCTTTTGTTCCGGCCCTCCGGTCCAGTTTAAGAACCCATTGTGGCCCTCGAGTCAAAAAGTTTGCCCACCCCTGCACTAGAGCAAAGTGAGCTTGAAGCAAGTTACTGTTGCAGTGGGGGTTGGAGGGAGAGCAAAGGTGAGAGACATAAGTAAAATCAGAGTATCTAGGAAAAATTAAAGGGAAGATATCCTAAAACTTCCAGGAAATCTCCACCAATGAAGCAAAGAAAAAGCCTCTATTATTCTGTGAGCAACAAACCAAACTGAGTTAGGGTCTCAGACAATTCGATCATATGATTGCAAAGACAGACAGAAACTCCTGGATTGGAGAGGGCTCCCCTGAAGGCTCCCAGATTGGAGAGGGTGCAGGTCGAGCTGAGGGACCCCCACACCCCCGAAGTGCATGAATGTCGTGCACCGGGCCTCTAGTATAGGATAATCACACTGCTTTGTCCCTTGGCTTCATTAATCTGGAGTTATCTGGATTATCTATGGCATGTTTTTGTATGACTTTCCTTTATTACCTACTTGTTTTTAACTGCTTCCTATTTTTCTTATTTGGAAACATACAGGGAATGGAAACATTTAATTTTGGCTTAAACAAAATTCATTTGTCAGTGGTACCTTTCTAAATGTGTCTTACTTAGACTTCATTTACTACGAAAGCCCTGCTTAACCAAGGTTCATGCTTTTGATTAAATAAGCAACCTCATTCCAAAAGAACATAGGATTAATAGTTTTATTTTAAAGCTTTTTATTTCCAAAAAAGTACATACTTAATGCAGGTTATACATAATTTTTCATTATATGTAGACTTTTCTAAGGAAATTCATTGTTTTAAGTAATAAAAAACATGTTTGTGTGATGCATTTTGCTCTCTTTTTGACTAAAAAGTTATTCTTTTAACCAGGTTTACTGTATCCCATTGTGTGATTTTATGCTCTGGTTCGAATTGCAGTCCATGATTAAAATAATACTATTTTACATCAAGCAGAATATTTTATTTTTAGTAACTCTCCAAGAACATATAATTACCTATTAGGAGGCAGATCTTTATATGACATATTTCATGTGTGCTTATCTTATAGATGCAAGGAGCTAGAATTATTCATGGTTATCTTGTGAATTCTTTATTTTAAATATAAGATAGTATTATCTTTCAAAAATCAATCAAAGATTCAAAAACCATGTCATCTTCCTTGGTAGCTTGCTTATGTCTAAATTTATCAAACACTTTAATTAACTGAGTTGTATGAGTCTGTATGATCTTTTCTTGTATAAAGGAAATAGTTAAGTAGAATCATGAATCATTAGTTACAAGTTCTAGAAATTCCCTCTTCACCCTGCTTTGTCCTAGGAGCCTGACTGGATCATAGCTTTCTTATGTTAAGGCTTCCTTTTGGTTCAGTCGATGGGAGACCCTGGCAGGATACCTTAGGGTAATAGGAGAATACCATCTGGGTCTTTATTCTCCCAGCTCATTCCCTACCAGGTTGCTCTGGTTTGGATGTGAATTGGGCAGAGTTCCTCTCCATATGGCTCTCGCTTGGGGTTCTGGTAACTCCCTCCCATTCCTGTCCCTTGATGTTTTTTCTTTTTTTTTTTTTTAAAAGAAAAAATATATTTTACTGATTTTTTACAGAGAGGAAGGGAGAGAGATAGAGAGTTAGAAACATCGATGAGAGAGAAACATCGATCAGCTGCCTCCTGCACATCTCCTACTGGGGATGTGCCCACAACCAAGGTACATGCCCTTGACTGAAATCGAACCTGGGATCCTTCAGTCCGCAGGCCAACGCTCTATCCACTGAGCCAAACCGGTTTCGGCCCTTGATGTTTTTTCTGAGCCTATCCCTGTCCTTTGTAATTATCTCTTTTAAACTCTCCTGTCCTACACAGTTTAGTGTGCCATCTCTTTGTTGTTAGAACCTTGAGTAGTCCAAGAGACATTTGAGGATTTGCTAGCTACACTGATAATCCATTTTTATAAGTCATAAAACATTTTTCCTATTTGCTCTATACTATTTTTGTTACAGGGCCTTGAATGGTGTAATGCTGAACTGAGATTCAGAAGACCTGGATTTAAATCTCAGCTCCTCTATAATGTAGCTCTGGGATTTGGACTTAGTCTCAGGCCCCTGTTCCTCATCTGTAAAGGAAAGACCAATCAATCCATTAAGATTCTTTCTAGCTCTTAATACTCTTGACCTCATGTTATTGAAAGGTATAGTCTTACCATCCTATCTTAATACAGAAATGGAAAATCTTACCCTGTCATTTAGTTCTATATATTTTACTTTAATTTTTTTCCCACAAAGAAATAGGATAATTGCTTTGAAGCATAAGATGCCTTAAAAGAAAAAAAGATGCTGATAGATGCTTAATATGTTCTCTAGGTTATCCTAGAAAAGCTATGTGATTATTTTATAAATTACACAGATAAGGAATTTTCTTAAGTTAGAAATATTAGTATTTGGAAGCATTCAGTTTAGTTACTGGAATTGCTGTACACAAGCATGCCTGAACTGTGGACTCCAGATTTCATTTGAATTAGAATTCAGTTTGAAGGCCACACTTCCAGCTCCTGACTTACTTCAGTGATTAATATTAGGGTAAGTGTATAGTTTTCCCCTTCTTTTTCTTTTGATATATAGCTAAGGTCTGTATATTATAAATAGCTATTGGTGTAGTTTTCACTCTTAATTTTGGCTGAGTAAACAGTAAAATTTTTTCTTCAATGAAGCCACCCACTGTCACTGAAGGTTGATAAATTACTAAATGTATACATCTTGGATGGTAGCTACTGGGTAGGACAGAGACTTTCAAACGTTTTACCTCATGTCACAAATAAACTACTAAAATTCTGCAGCACACCAAAACATATATTTTTTTGCTAATCTGATAAAAAAAATAGGTATAACTGATTGATTTTTAAAATAAATAATAATAGTAATTATCTACCCTTTTTGCTCCAAAGTGACTTTTAAAAAAATTATGTGCCTATACTTGTATATAAGGATTTCTGGTACCAAGAATTAATCAATCAGACATAACCTTATTATGCAATGTGACCAACAAGATGAAACTCTATTAAATGGCCTATGTATTTATGGTTCAAGACAGCACATCACACTGGATGACTCTTGTTGTGTTAGCTGTTGTCATTTTTTTTAGTTGACAATCTAAGGTAAAAGAGATCAGTGCTCCTGACTAGGTATTGTACATTGAAAAATTGTTGTGGCACACTGAAAATCGCTGTGTTAGACAATGGCTGCAGCTGGTCAAGTGACGAAGATTAATTTTTTGTGCTCCTTGGTTGCAGGGTGCAATATGTGACTTCTGTGAAGCTTGGGTTTGTCATGGTCGGAAGTGTCTCAGCACACATGCCTGTGCCTGCCCTCTTACCGATGCAGAGTGTGTGGAATGTGAACGAGGTGTCTGGGACCATGGTGAGTGATTACATTAGGCAGCGAACTTGGCTGTAAGTGAAGGCTGACTTTGAAACATCCTGGATACTCTTTTTAACATATTTTTCAGGATGCTATCAATCCTAAATACAGACACTGTTTTGCTTATCAGTTTAGTTGAAAAGGATTTATACTAGCACTAACAGTCATTTGGATTGTTTACCAAAACAAGTAGGGAGGGTATTTATGGGAGAGCAAGTGTCTCGGAGCATTGTATTACATATGTGTAGCCAGGGGTTAGTGGGAGTCCATTTCTGTATGGTTCATTTTAGCAGTTTTCATTGTAGCCTTTACCAGAACAGAAACTCCTGTGTCATTATGGTGTAAATCTGAAATAACTTGCCATCCTTTTTGAGCAGTTTTATAGATATGAGTTTTTTAAATTATAAAGCTTATCATATTTACATTTTTGTGTTTTGTTTTTTAATCTAATAGGAGGCAGAATATTCAGTTGTTCTTTTTGCCAAAACTTTCTCTGTGAAGATGATCAATTTGAACATCAAGCCAGCTGTCAGGTTTTAGAAGCAGAAACATTTAAATGTAAGTTTATATATATTAAATGTTTATATATATCCAAGTTTCTTAATAGTCTGAGAGTTAAACAATGAAAAAGGAATCCAGTTTTTCATGTAGCCTCTTATGGACTGTAATTTAGCTCAAATCTATTTTTTGGTTGTAGAAAAAATTCATAACACATCTATTTTCTTTTTTCAACAGAGGTGCCTATGGTATTTTAATTGGGCCAATTCTTTATTTTGTAGGAATGATCAGGAATTACTGGTCCTGAATACAAAATGTCATTTTCACCTCTAAGTTACTAAAATAATCCCCTTCGTCTCCACACATTTCCAGATGCCCCCAAGTAAGGGCTACCACCCCTGGTTTCTTTCCAGTGATTCTTAGGAGTATGCATCAAAGACACCTGTGGAGGATTTTTAAGAAATACAGGTGTTCAGGCCTCATCCCTGAGATTCTGTATTTATGTTTGTGGTGGGTGCCAGGCACATGCATTTAACCTGCACACATAATTCTCAGGGATCTTCCTATTTGAGAACCAGTGTTACTGACAGGGTGGATGGTATCATCTTCACAGATAGATTGTATTTTATTTCTACTCTGATTCTCAAAAGCTCAAGTTTTGGAGTTATACTACTTGATTTCTACTTGTTGGTCATAGGATTTTGGACAAATCACTAAATCTTTCTAAACCCGAATCTCCTTAAAAGGAAGATGTGAATTTCTTTTACAAAGAGTTAATTGAAATGAGAGTCCAGATAAAGAAAAGCATTAGTATAGTACCTGGCACTTAGAAAACCTTCCTGTATAATAAAAGCCTAATATGCTAAGTGTCTAGTCGTCCGTTCAACCAATCAAAGCATAATATGTTAATGATATGCTAAGGCCACTCAACCGCTCACTATGATGTGCACTGACCACCAGGCGGCAGACAGTTGATCAGTTGACCAGTCACTATGACATGCACTGACCACCAGGGGCAGATGCTCCGAACGGTAGGTTAGCTTGCTGCTGGGGTCCGGCAGATCGGGACTGAGTGAGACGGGCCAGACACGCCCTGGAGCCCTCCTGCGGTCCCTCCCTGGCTGGCCAACCTCCTGCGTCCCTCCCCTGCCCCGATCGTGCACCATTGGGGTCCCTTGGCCTGGCCTGCGCCCTCTCGCAATCTGGGACCCCTCGGGGGATGTTGGAGAGCCGGTTTCGGCCTGATCCCACAGGCCAGGCCAAGGGACCCCACTGGGCACGAATTCGTGCACCAGGTCTCTAGTTATTATATAATAGACTAGAGGCCCAGTGCACAAAAATTTGTGCACTTGGGGGGGGTCCCTCAGCCCGGCCTGTGCCCTCTTGCAGTCTGGGACCCCTCGGGGGATGTCCACCTGCTGGCTTAGGCCCGCTCCCCAGGGGATCGGGCCTAAGCTGGCAGTCAGACATCCCTCTGGCAACCCATGAGCCCTCGGGGGATGTCCATTTGCCAGTGGGGAGCAGGCCTAAGCTGCAGTCGGACATCCTTAGCGCTGCCGAGGAAGCCGGAGAGGCTCCTGCCACCACTGCTGTGTTGGCAGCTGTCAGCCTGGCTTGTGGCTGAGGAGAGCTCCCCCGTGGGAGCGCACTGACCACCAGGGGGCAGCTCCTGCATTGAGCATCTGCCCCCTGGTGGTCAGTGTGTATCATAGTGACCAGTCATTCCCAGTCGTTCTGCTGTTAGGGTCAATTTACATATTACCCTTTTATTATATAGGATAGAGGCGTGGTGCACAGATGGGGGCCTGCTGGTTTGCCCTGAAGGGTGTCCCGGATCAGGGTGGGGGTCTCACTGGGGTGCCTGGCCTACCTGGGTGAGGGGCTGAGGGCCGTTTTCAGGCTGGCCACACCCCCTTCAGGGTGGGGGTCCCCACTGGGGTGCCTGGCCAGCCTGGGTGAGGGGCTGATGGCTGTTTTCAGGCTCGCCACAGCTCCTTCAGGGTGGGGGGTTCCCGCTGGGGTGCCTGGCCAGCCTGGGTGAGGGGCTGAGGGCTGTTTTCAGGCTGGCCACACTCCCCGGTGACCGATTTTTCAGCAGGTATCTGGGATTTATTTATCTTCTATAATTGAAACTTTGTAGCCTTGAGTGGAGCCCAGTGCCCGCCAGGGCAGGTGGGAAGCTTGGCTTTCCTCCATTGCTGGGGGCAACCCAAGCCTCCTGCTCGCTCCAGCTTTGTGGCCGCCACCATCTTTGTGATGGAGTGACGGAGTGACAATTAATTTGCATATTACTCTTTTATTAGATAGGATGCCATCATGGGAAAGACTGATATTCCCCAGATATTCACTTCCTTTAATTTGGTTCTTGTTCTGGTAGTTCTGGTATCAGTTGTTAATCCTTATATTCACATAAATTTAAAGTTGAGATATATGTGTGTGTATGTGTGTGTGTGTGTATATATATATGTATATGTCATTATTAGATATATCTATATCTAAGACATATATCAATTTTATATATACTAGTATAATATTTACAATATTTTTATAGAATGTTTCAAAGATTAAAGGAACATCTTAAAGTATACAACAATTGTTGATTTCCTTTCTTGTGATTTGGAATTCAATCTCATATTTATGTATCCTTTAAGTTATTTATTCTATGAGACAGAAAAGCAAACTTAGTAATTGACCTAAGGTAGTACTTCAAGTACAAATCTGTGGGAAATAGTGTTTTGATACCAAGTTTAATCTGGGCATTATGTATTTCCCCCCCAGGTGTTTCGTGCAATCGGCTCGGTCAGCATTCTTGTCTCCGTTGTAAGGTATACTTGAGTAGTTTTTATTTTTTGTTTTTAATTCCCATACTCCACACCAGTCCTTGGATTACTTACAGCTGTGATTAATCTGGAAGGATCCTTAAACATTATTTAGTTTTGTTCTTTCATTTCGGAGATTGTGGGATTGAGAAATCTTTATGACTTTGCAAAGGCTATTGGTTGGCTTGTTTTAGAGTTGACTCTAGTACACATGTCTCCTGACTCTTGGCTCAGTGTTTTCACACCTTACGTTTATGGAAAAAATTCTGACCAAAATGACGGAGTGTATTTTAATTAATGTCAAAATGCACTTGCTTAGGACAGTGAAGATTTCCATAATGTTTTAATTCCTTGGAACTTATCTCTAGCATTTCTGTTTGTCAAAAATAACTAAATAGATGCAGTCAATTCACTTGCTCTCAGAAACATTCTGGTTTTTTCCTTATATTCTTAATCCTATCTTATTTCTCTTTCCACTCTTTTCTAATTTTGTCTAAGCTGTTTCCTTTGCCTTAGATCCCTCTTCCATCTTTACTGTATCCCCATTCCCCTTCAGATCCCAGCTAAGACTTCATGTTCTTTTCTGAATCCTGCACCGGGTTTAGTGCTCCTCCTCTACTCTTCTCTTTCAACGCATAGTGTTTTATAGCAGCCTCTCCACTTGTCGGTGTCCCCAGTTAGACTGCATACACTGTGAGGGTAAGATAGGCTCTTCACCATATGTCATCAGGGTCTTTGTGAATACTCATATATTCATGTGTGAATATATAAGTCTACATATCATACCCTGTGTATAGTTTCTGCCTTGTGTTAGGTCATAGTTCTGAAGAGTCCTGATACAGAGCATTTCTCTTAAGAAATTAAAGTCAGGAGTGTGACCAGTCCCAAGCTCTTCTGCCCTAATGAACCATATCTTTAAATTTCCTTGAAATAGTGAATATCTTTATGCATTTTAAATTTATTTATTGCTGCCCTAGCTGGTTTGGTGCAGTGGATAGAGCATTGGCCTGGGAACTGAGGTGTCCCAGGTTCGATTCCAGTCAAGGGCACATGCCTGGGTTTCGGGTTCCATCCCCAGTGGGGGGTGTGCAGGAGGCAGCAATCAATGATTCTCTCTCATCAATGATGTTTCTATCTCTCTCTCCCTCTCCCTTCCTCTCTGAAATAAATAAAAATATATTTAAAAAATTAAATGAAATAAAAATAAGTCCTGCTTGAAGGACTTCCTTTAAATTTATTTATTGTTTATTTTTACTTCTCCGTATAGGCCTGTTTCTGTGATGATCATTCAAGGAGCAAGGTGTTTAAACAAGAAAAAGGAAAACAGCCTCCTTGCCCTAAATGTGGACATGAAACTCAGGAAACTAAGGATCTTAGCATGTCAAGTAAGGCTCTTCTTAAAATGACAGTGGGTTCGTTTTGCTTTCATGCTTAGACAAGATTTATCTTTTTTTCCCCCTCTATTTTGTTTTTGCCTCTTTTTTATCTGAAAAGATAAATGTGTTCTCTTAAGGAAGTGGAATTTTACAGCCTTGGAAAATATATGGGTAAAATTTCTCAATTTAACTTAAGAAATATACCATCATTCACTTTGATATTTGGCATTTGCCTCAGTTAATGACATAGTGAATACTGAAATTTAAGACCAAAAAAGGGATTTTTCTTTTTTTTTGCTGAGGCTTCCTTGTTCAATAATTGAGTAGCTATAAATCCTTAATATTTAAGTGCTGGTAATCTTTAGTACTGGAAAGTTGGAATTCATTCTTAAGCAATTCTTAGGTGTGTAGTATTTGAGCAGCTGTACTTATTATGTACTACATCACTACTGTAGGAAATTGCTTTCTGCTTTTTATATAACTTTTCTATGAAGGAATAAGACTGCCATAAACATTCATAGTAATGCAGCTCACAATTTGACTCTTTACCAAACATATCAGAATGGAACCATAATTCTAAATGACTTTGCTTAATCAAATGAGGAAAGACTGATGATTTTGCTGATTTTTTTTGCACTAAAGTTTGTGTTGCTAGAAGAAATTAAAGGCTTTGTCTTCTAGGACATCCGACTTATAAAATTGCTCTAAAAAGTGTAATGACATGAAATCAGCTCTTCTATGATTTAAAATAAACGTTTAATTGATCAAACGAAAGGGCATTTTATTTTAATTTTTAACATGCCTTATTAGGTTTAGAGAGTGCTGTTTTGTTTCCCAACTTTTTCTAGATTTAATGAAATGACACTGTAATCTTTATCATTTGTTACATGTGTCTATGTAGACCCTCATGTTGGATAGAATTGATTGTTTTTTAAGGTCTTCTTTTTATCCAATTAAATATTAAGTTAGGAAAGTAGGAAAAATGTGGCTTACTTTTTTGTTAGGGAGTAAGAAGTAGCCAATCAAGTTCATGTAATGTTATGTATTGTAGAGGAAAATGAGGATGTAGAGAACGGGAACTAATAAGGCGCCATGTACATATCCGTGTTTTGTAGCACGCTCCCTGAAATTTGGCAGGCAGACTGGAAGTGAAGAGGGAGATGGAGCTTCTGGGTATGATGCTTATTGGAAGAACCTTTCATCTGATAAGTATGGTGATACCAGCTACCACGACGATGAGGAGGAGTCTGAAGCAGAGGATGATGAAGAAGAAGACGACGAAGGTGGAAAGGATTCAGATGTTGAGTCATCAGAATTGTTTACTAATTTAAATTTAGGAAGGACCTATGCCAGTGGCTATGCTCACTATGAAGAACAAGAGGACTAGGGGAACTGCTTGCCCATTGGTGACCTTGTCTGAGAGGAGCAGGAAAGTGTGTGCTTGATGAAGCGCGTGTGGGTGTTCAGAAGTACTGTCACTTAGCCTTGTGCAAAAGACTAGTCACACATACTGGGCAAGGGGTAGGGTATAGCATTTCTCTAGGAACTGAGAAGCAAGCTTATGGCATAAGAAAAATGATTTTCAAATGTAAGATGTTCATTGATACAAGGAATTAAGCATCATGGATTGGATTATTACTGATTTCAGTAACCTGGTAGGTTTTGCCAGTTAGATACATATATAGGATAAAGGAATAATTGGAGGGTAATATATTTGAAATTAAATTGCTGTTTTTATGAATAACACTGCTAATAAATACATTCTGTCTGATTTTGTAAAATGTAATGGGTAAATAGAGTTATTGTATTTTTCCTTGTATGTCCATAGGATACAAGTCAGATGTCTATACTAAATTTTCATTAAATCTTCATATCATCTTATATAGTCATGATATGTGTACTTTAGCAACTGATTTTTCACAGTGTACATCCTGAATAGTACCCATTAATACCTAAGTGTATAGACAAAGGTGACTACAAGCCATTTTTCAGACACAGAATCAGAAATAGTATTACACAGATGCTTTATTCAGGAAATTTAATTTCTGTTTGAATAAATCTAGTATTACAGTTATATACTTTTGATATTTTATTTAATTTCTTGTTCTTAATTTTGTAAACCTTGGAAAGTATTCTAATGGTTTTGTGTAATCTTCATTTTTTTGGTCTAATATGCGAAATAAGTAACAGAGATTAATATTGTGGTAGACACAAAGTTTTGCAGCCAGACCCCGTCATTCATGGTGGAGGTGGAGAACAGACAGTTGCTGGCACAAATTCCAGTTGTTAACTACTTATGCTGGCAAAGAATTGGGATGGAGTGGTAGAAAGAAAGGCTATGGGACTGACTGGCATTTGAGAAGTACAGAGAAAACTAGTTTTGACGACAAAAGGGTTGGATGGCTTATTCTATGGCAACATAATGAACAGCTGAGGGCAATAATAGGCTATGGAAACCAGGTGTGAGAGCCAGCGGGCCTCTGGATGCATGCAGAAAAAGCTTTCATCTCTTATAGCAGGGCTGAGAAAACTGAGGACCAAGCTCAGGATTTAACAGTCATATTGGATGAACTTCAAAGACAGTTGCCAATTAAGGCAAGTCCATATGCAAAGATCAGGGCACTGTTTGGGAAAATCCAGAACCCTGACAAGTGAGATGGAGACATCTGGATGGATGCTGCTGTAGATTTTTACTCCCCAGACTCCTGAACTTTCTGAGCCTTGCAGTCAGCTCACTCCTCTCTGTTAAGGACGAGCATCCCCCATCCCACTCCCAAGCTGAACAGAAGTCTCCTTCCCTAGGCAATATGTGCCCCCTCAGGACTTGTCCTATCTCCAGGCTACTAGGCCTAGAATTAGGGTTAACTAACTAGAATTAAAATTAAGCAAAGCTCAGCTGGGCCAGCAGAGAGGAGAAACCACTATTCCCCAAAGGAGCTCCAAGAATTTGGCCAGCATGTGTGGGAGGAGCAGGAGTACGCTTGAGACTAGAATCCGAGGATGTTGATAATAGGGGTCAAAACAAAATTAGGGGAAAGTTGGATAGCACCACATTGGGTTCTTCGGTTACAGGACTTAACTAAACAGGACTTAACACCCTGGCTCCTGGGAGATGGTGAATAACTTCTAGAAAAAGCTATGGCCAATTCTGAGCAAAGCTGAAATGCCTGCATTACTGTGGCAGATGGTGGAGAGAAGAATTAAAAGGGTGAGGAAAATGGGCTTGCTGGAATGGATAGATTATCTTTGGCTGGAAGATCATCAGATGAATACGTAAAAACTGGAAGGCCCAGGGACAAACCATTTAATAAGGCCGTAAAGACAAGAATTGATGGGGGTGGGAAGGGGACAAGGGTCACTAAAACTTTAGCGGTGACTCTAGGCTACTGCTCACAATAGAAACCAACTATTACAAAGTTTAGTTCGCTGATAGTAATGGGTGATTAGACCCTAAAAAAATAGTGGCCAAGTGGCAATGCCTAATTGCCAAAGTCAGATGGGGTCACAAGTATCAAAATGACTCTCAAACTGAGAGTGATTATCCAAGGGGGCCTGGCCTGCAGAGAGTTATGAAGAAGGCTAATGGGATATATACAACCCCCTTAGGTGTAAAATAATTAACTGGGGGACATTTTTCTTTGCATCTCTGACACTGGGCTTTCCATAATTAGAAGTCTGTGTCCTCAAAGGGGGCATCTTTCTTCATGGTACCCAAAATGCACTCCACTGAATTATAAACTATGCCTATTGACTTGGCATTTTTAGCTTTTTATGTCCAGGGATCTGCATACAAGAGAAATCATTGTCTTGGCATATAAAGTGATTGCATCAAGAGGAGGTAGGACTGCCTTTATGTATTGGGCAGGGAGGAATATCAGTGGAGTTCAGGTGATTCACTTGAGTTTCTTTGCTCACTTGTCCATAAATGGACATGGCATTCTACCTCAGCCTGTGAAGGCTATGGTGACTAGATCCCCAGGGGATGAGGGTCTGGGTTATACCACCAGGTAATCCACTGAGACCAGCAGAGGTAGTGGCAGGCAGGAGGTGACAATAATTGGGAAATATTTTTCCTCCTCTTCATTCTGGTCATGGTTAGTAAACTGCTGGAATATTGTAATGATGTATGTGAGAGTGACTTTTACACGTCACCTACAAGCTTCTGCTCATGTAGAATGTATTAGTCCATTTCAGAGGTGTCCTTAGTGCTGCCGTGGAGTCAGAAGAGGCTCCTGCCACCGCTGCTGTGCTCGCCAGCCATGAGCCCGGCTTCTGGCTGAGAGGTGCTCCCCCTGTGGGAGCGCACTGACCACCAGGGGGCAGCTCCGGTGTTGAGTGTCTGCCCCCTGGTGGTCAGTGCGCATCATACCGACCGGTCATTCTGCCATTCAGTCGATTTGCATATTAGGGTTTTATTATATAGGATAGAAGATATTTCACGCTACCCCCTTTTTTCAAGTGGGAGAGTAGATTTGGTCCCTGCCACTTCATTCTGGTTGAAGTTCAGTCACAATCTTGACATATTTTACTGCAAAGAAACTAATCTTTTGAAGCTGACTCTGACATATTATTTTCCACCCACACTTATAAGGGTTTTATTAGTATGGATGACAAAAATCTACTTGTAATACTGTGTGTATCTATTTCTAACTGTTAACTTAGTTATACATACATCTTGCCTTAAAAAATCCTGTCAGTAGTTTTCCTTCAGTATAAGAAGAATTCTTACTACCAACTTTACATTTAGGCAATATAAGCTTTAAAAATTATATTTATGCAGGTTTAATGTAAGTACATGCTTTTACTTGTCAGGAGAAATCATGGCAACCAATGATCCTTGACTTAAATTTTTTAAAAAAATAGTTACATACTCATATTCAGAGAAGAAAAGTCCTAAGGTGAACTTGGTGAGAATCCTGAAGTTCTGATGGATCTCTTGGGGAGAAGTTGATTGTTGTTATTTCTTTTTAAAGTACATATTTTTTCATTGATTTCAGAGAGGAAGGGAGAGGGAGAGAGAAACATCAATGATGAGAGAGAATCACTGATCAGCTGCCTCCTGCATGCCCCCCTACTGGAGATCAAGCCTGCAACTCAGACATGTGCCCTGACTGAGAATCAAACAGGTGACCTCTTGGTTCCTGGGTAGAAGCTCAATTGCTGAGCCACACCAGCTGAGCATTATTAATTTCTATATCTTAAAAAATTAAGCATGGATTGCTCCTTGGTGACTGAGAGGAAGGCACAAATGGAAGAGCAGAACTCTGCAGATCCTCATCAGATTTACAAAGTTAGAAAGAACCCTGCATCATCTAGGTTAGTTCCCCACCCTACTCAGAAGTTGTCCCTAGATCACTAAGTTTATCTAAACTATTTAAATACTGTTCTTCTTTTTTTAGAACTACAACTAGTTGTGTCTATATCTTAATAGGAAATGAGTATTATGATACAGAATAAAGTTAGCCATATGCACCTGAGGCTTAAATAGATAGGCTCATGAGATCTTGACTCTTGGATAGATTTTTAGAGTTTTGGCAACATTAAAAATCTATTTTAGTGTGGTAGGCAGAATAATGGCTTTCCAAAGATATCCATGTCTTAATCCCAGGAAACGGTATGTTATGTTACATTGCAAAGAGGAATTAAAGTAGCAGATGGAATTAAGTTTGCTAACTAGATACTCTTAAAACAAGATTATTTGGGGTTATCTGGATGGACCTAATGTAATAAAAAAGGTGGAAGAGGGAGGCAGAAGAAAAAATCCAAAGTGATAATGATGTGAAAATGGCTCACGTCTCCCTTGCTGGTTTTGACTATGGGGGAAGGGGACTGTGGGCCAAGGAATAAGGGTTAACTTCGAGAAAAAAAAAGGCAAGGAATGAATTCTCCCCTGGAGCCTTCAGAAAGGAACACAGCCCGGCCAACACCTCGTTCATAGTGCAGTGAGACCTGTGTCAGACTTCTAACCTACAGAACTATATATATAAAAGGCTAATATGCTAAGTGTCTGACCATTTGACCGTTAGCTATGATGCGCACTAACCACCAGGGGGCAGATGTTCAACGCACAGGCATGGAAACATGGATCAGACTGATGAATCTTAGAGGGGAGGGGGGAGGGGGGAGAGTGGGAAGAGATTAACCAAAGATCTTATATGCATACTAGAGACCCCTCAGGGGATGTTGGACTGCTGGTTTCAGCCCGATCCCCGCAGGCCAGGCCGAGAGACCCCACCGGTGCACAAATCCGTGCACTGGCCCTCTAGTAAGATAATAAGTTTGCATTGTTTTAAACCACTAAATGTGTGGTAACTTGTTACAGCAGCAATAGGAAACTAACATACGTAGTTATCTCCTAAATCTTAAATACAAATATTACCTCTTTGGTCTGTGACTAGAAGATCAAATGTTTTCACAAAGCATAATTATTATTGCCAAACATAAATGCTCCCAGAGTTAATGGTGAAGTAATTATTAGTTAAACCATAACTTAGGTGCAGAAATTTATTGCAATAGAATTTCTCAAAAAGTGGAAATAGAAGATGAGAGAAACAAAGTCTTCCATAACATTAGCACATTGTCTGACAGTGTTTATGTTAATGAAGCAATTTAAAATGGACTCATGAAACCCTATACTCTTTGGGATACTGTCACCAGGCTGCAATGAAAATAAAAGATGCTAAATTATTATTGATACTGGCAGTCATTATGTTATATTTCTTTAGAGTTCTTTATTCAATACCACCCATGAGCCTTTTGTAGACCACTGAGATTTTAATGAAATCCCAAAGCAAACCCACACTAAACACTGGAGAAGAGTTCATTACACTATAACTTCCCTGGGCTAGATGTATGTTGAGAATTATAAACTTGAGTTAATATAAGAGAATGTGCAGAGAAGAAATGCTCTGTGACTGCTTTTCATATCTGAGAACTTGCACAGTCCTGAGAATGAAATTGTGGACCCCTCAAGTTAATGGGATATACCTGTTAAGAGGGCATAGCTCTTTTTGTGCAAAGCCTATAAGCTAAACACAGCTATAACAGGCAGAGTAAAAATAGTAAGAGACTTTC